TATGTTTGTGTTTACGAGTTCGATGTAACTGTTATATCGACTATCGCACACACGAAAATTGGCTTTATAGTTAGTATAGGCAAGCCTGGTTCCTCAGTTTACCGACTTCAACCCATTCTAAGTGAGATTTTATTTAAGGTATATCTTACTAATATAATAGCGAAAGCTGGGATGGATTGAAGTTTGTCAGAGTTTGTAGACTAAACTACTCAACAGACCTCGATGAAATTTGGCATACATGTAGAGGATAATCTGAAAGAACACATATGCTACTTACTTTTTTTTTTAATTACATGCGAACAAACTCGCGGGCGAGAGCTAGTTTAACTTAATTTTGATTCCGATTGGATATGTTTCTCCGTGTCTGTTATTTCACAATTTTATTTCTGTTTTAAGATACCTTCGTAATTCGGAAATACAATTTAAATAACTTTTTAAATTAAGTTGTTACGTTTAAATGTTTTGTGCAGTTGAAGCTTTTGTTACTTTATATGGTAAAATTGTATGTACGAGTTGTTATTTTCCAATATGTTGATATGTAAATGATAATCCTAAACTGTACACTTTATTATTACTTTCTTTAGACTGTGAGGGAGCGAAATTATTGTAACCGTATGCCCATATAAGACGTCGCTTTTAATATAAATTGGTTTAACTTTACTTAACTTCTGAGAAATATGTTTTGAAATAAACTATTACTTTTATTAAGTTTCTATATTTAACGAAAAGTAATGTCAGCATCACTTTCAAATAAAATAATGGTTTTAATTTTTTTTAAAGAGGAATGATTTGTATTTTTGTAACTATTGAAATAACTCAAAAATTACTGTGCCGATTTTAAAAATTATTTCACTGTTAGAAAGGTGTGTAACATAGGCTATATTTTTTAAACTTCACGCGGGCGAAGTCGCGAGCAACACCTAGTATGAAATATGTAAGTAATTTTTCTATGAGAGTATTTCTTGCTCCCTTAATACAATGAAAGTGCTCTCATTTCTTGTCTTTGAACTTTAGATTTACCACGTAGAGAAACTACATAATTTTTTAATATTAATCGATCATTGAAACTAATTTATAATGTAAGTCGGGCGTAACCTTAGAAATAGATCAGATATAAATAAATATCCATAAAAAATGTAATTTTCTTATTCAGTTATGTCTCATGTATGATATACCGATTAGAGACGACCTTGCCATAGACAACTTGTTAAATACACGATCGTTGGGAATACGGGTATCAGCATTCATATTATCTTAACTAGATGTTGCTCGCGACTTTGTCCGTTGAATTAAAAAGAAGTAATTCAAAAATGTAGACGACTCACTGCTAAAATTTTAATGGTGAAAGAATTTTTTAATAGTTAATACATACAAAATTCCAAACATACAAATCATTCCTCTTTATAAAATTAGTATAAATTACTTGTAACTTGGTACAGTACCCATATCTATGTATATCATACCATAACTGCGGTCCTTAGTTATTTATAAAGTTAATTATGTATTAATATATCATTGAATAATTAATCACATGGACAGATAAGCGAGTTTACGTATATGGCATCGATTCGTGCTCGCGCTTCGATCGCCTTGTAATCTGCGCCTTCCTTAAACACATCAACGTAATGGATTGCAGACGGAGTGCACCAAGTGTTAATCATTAATATACAATCGTCTCGTCTCGGTAACTAACCGTTTATAATTTTACACCGTGTAATTATTTCCTGGACAACGATGATTGATTGTACGATCAGCGTTTTGTCAATATTTAAACTGGAAACCATTTAGTTTGTACGTATTGACGCATGTTTTACCGCGCAAGTATTCACGGAAGCTAACCAAACTTTTATGTAGAAAAGATAATGTTAATAAATTAAGATTTCGGGAATATCATGTATTTGCGTTGCTGATAACGAAAGTCGCGTTTAAAATTTTTTTGTCTGTCTGTCTATCTGCCTGTCTGCCGCGTTTGTTCCGGGTAATCTCTGAAACGGCTGGCTCAATTTCAACCGGACTTTCACTGAAGGGTAGCTGACGTAGACAGGCTTATTATAGGCTACTTCTTTATCTTAATATTGCTTAGACGAAGTCGATGGCAACAGCTAGTGGAAAATAAAGAACGTAAATTGATTTTAGATTGAACTGTATTGACTCTATTAGATGTAACATTTGCATGGAATCGTTGTTTGTTTTAGTTTTTGATCGCTCCGTAGCTTTAAGTTATTGTGACAATTTCCATGTTAAACATTTTTTTTTTAGTCCATAAAAGCTCATTAATCAAAAATATTTCCAATTAGCTATCAGAGTTCGTCGGACAAAATCGATTTAAGAGAATCGATTTGAGCGGCAAAGCCGCTTAAAATCGATAATGGTCTATCAGTTATTCGATTCCAATCAGCGTTTGGTATGCAAATTGCTCTACTTTAATAGCCGTCCGTTTGTACGACAGCCATCATTCCAAGCTGACTCCATTACGGGCCGGAGATGTCGCTTTTCTATTTGTGAATGACATTTTGAAATATCTAGCCTTAACTGTTGTTTTGCCGATTTAAAAAAGGAAGTGGTTTCCAATTCGATTGGTAATTTTGGTTATTTTTTTTTATGCTTTTCTACAGGAATATTCTTGTCATCTCTTCGCAAATTTTTCGTCTTGCGATCTCAAAAGTTGACAACTTTTGATGCCAGATTCTTAAAGACGAGAGTCTTTTACTTAGTTTTAAATGCTGACAATTGTTTTGTTTTTGTGAAGGTTGTATAAAACTGTAAAGAAAATATTAAGAAGCATAAGTTTGTCGACGCAAGCCATGTAAGGAGTGTTTTGTCTGCTATTTTTATAGACTAGAGATAAACCGACACGCTTAATAATAATGCAAGTAATGAATAGACTGGTTAATCCTTCTATGAATAACTTGACGTTGGCAATTCGTGGTGACGAAAATGTCTTAAATATAAAAGAAAAAGAATTGGTATACATTTTTAAAACGTTTCGAAGGCCAGTTATAATAGAATGCGCGTATGGAAATAACATTTGTAAAGAGTTATGTGTTGAATAGAGCTATTTTCACACTTTATTCTCAGTCGGTTAACATTTTCGAGAAGCGTTGGTTTTTTTGTTTACTTCTTACCGTTGTAATGTCAGATATGAAGGTAAACAACGAAATGGATTATACATGTATTTTTATTTAATATTCAATTTACAATGCATTTTGAATGGATGTTTAACTTTGAGAAATGTGTTTCGTAAGCATTTCACAAAAATGTCAGTTGACATTTGAAACGAAGTCAAGTCACGAACTATACTCACGACGTGAATGTTCTAAAACAAATAGTTGATACACGATCAAATGTAGATGTTTACATGACTCATGATCGTAATTCTGTCTGTTGGTGTGTATAGTCATACAAGGATTTCTGACCCGGTGAGAGTATTCTTTGGGCTCAGAGAATGATGTAAAAAAAACGATATGACAGATGCAGTACAAATCTTGTGAAACATTTTTTGTTATTGACATGAGGGCGTTAGTGAGCTATTATAATTAAGTTTGATTTATGCCCACCGGGTCAGATAACTTTATCCGTGTATACTCGTACAAGGACCTCACACACGGTGATTGTTGTACACGTTGTTTCCGTGTATAAAAAAAATTAAAAAGTAGGATTTATATTACTTGTGATAAATCGATAGTATTTATATATTTCAGGCAATAAATTCAACGATTATATTCGGTCGTAAAATATTTTTAATCTTCTTGACGGAGACTTAACAATATTGATTACTGTCATTCATTATTCTAGAAACATCCTCAAACTTTGTATTGGTAATAATTCTTAGTGACATTACACGATTTTGCAAGGATTATAGCCTAATGGAGTTTATTGATTTATTCACTTTATGTTCTGAACGATTTTTTAACTCATGTAATTATTAAATTTTAATTGAATTCACATTTATACTAAATTAATACCCTTTTATATCTATCCTATTGTAGGTATTTCCTTGTCTTTATAAAAAAACTAGCTGTTCCCATGCAGCTTTATCCGTAGGTAATTATAAAAACTTAATTTTATCGTTTACACTTGTCAATTTATCAATAGCAAATGTCAAAATGACATGACATGATGACAATCCATGGCAATCATGCTTCCTTGATGTTGGCAGCAACTTATGGTCTCTTTCCCACATTAGGATTTTTATCCAATTAATTTACCAACTAAGTTTGATAGCGTAAAAATATATAGCCTAAAGCGTAAAGTAAGTGTAGGGCTTTTTATTAAAAAAAAATAATTAATCAAAAATATGCTGTAATTGCTAACATCTTGGACAACAAAGAAGTGCATGTTTACGCTTTATTTAATAGTACAGAAATCTACTTTTTTTCTAATTTCATGTAACAGTGTAAAATCATGTTTATATTAAAACGAATAGTTTAAAGCTAAGTTATCTAATACCAGACTATGTTATCGTATCATTTTATAATATTATGCAGACGTTTTTTATTATTACAGGAAATGGGTGAAACTATTTCATTAACTCAAAATATGTCAAGGAACTTGTAGAAACATTTTCATTAGCGAGAGATATTTAATTGAAACATTTTGATTCTAACTTAAGACCTAATTTTCTAAAAACATCTTAATAAAAAAATCTGAATAGCTCAATGCAATAAATTATCTGCGTTAATTGTAATTCATTTCGTAAGTGTTATAACGGCCTCATAAAACGCGCGTTAATAACAAGGCTATAAATAAGTTTGAACTCTGCTGTTAGTCGTTCGTAGCCACAGCTGACATTTCTAGAGGAATTTTAGACATGTCTAGTTTTATGAATCGTCCTTGACGTAACGGACTTTGCGAAACAAACGCCCTCATGACAATTCGATGATCGAAGTTTAGTTGTCTGTCCTGTTCACACGACATATTGATGTGATGTATGTGAATGGGATACAAAATAAAGTTGTATTTGTACGGTGTGTGACCGACTCCAGCCAGTCTCAGGCCGCTGCGCGCGCGGCGCGGTCCTCGCGTTATTCCGTGTGTTCGATATTCAAACTCACGCATTGACGCGAACGTTCCAAATTCGAAATTTGAAAGCGAAGTTTATCGATGGTCAATGACAACTGTGAATATAATCTGTGTATGTTTTATGTGCTGTTTATTTTTTTTTAATTTGAATTTGAATGACCAGTATTGGGACATGCGAATGTACACATTAGTCATTTGTGTTTTTTAACGCATACATCCTTTATATTAAAATAAATTTGTATTCTGTACTATATTCATATTCAAATAAGATAAACGGTTTTAAGATATTCAAATATTTGTTGTTTTGAGCCATGTTTTAAAGGTTGTTAAATACAATGGCCTGGACGAGAAACAGTTTGTATATTTAAGGAAAAGGATTTATAGGAAGAAATTCACATTTATACTTACTACCTATGACGCGTGTTAGTGAGAAATTATTTTTACCGCAAATGTTTAGTCATAATATTTGTCAGATGGAAAGGTTATTGTATTAAAACAAATGTCAACGCTTGCAGAATTATACAGGAAAACGTAAAATTTCTATAATTTAAGCTTATTTTCTGTTACTTTGTTCACACATGGAACGATTCATAAATTAAAAAAAATTTAACCATTCACTTAACTGACATACGAAATGTTTGTCGTATCTGCTAGTCAGCTAGTCAAATATAAAGGCAGCGCCACATTCCAAATTGTGTCATAACAGAAATGAATTGTCATTTGTTACCGTCAGACGAGAAGAGTATGATTGATGACATGCAGTAGCTACGCACTTTTAGGGCTGACGACTTACCTGCTCGTAGATGCGAAGACACGCTTGTCGTGTCTTGACTCTAAGTAGAGTAAAAAAGAAACTCAACCCTAAATTCTTATCGGACGATGAAAACCATTATCAGCCAGCTATTTTCTCTACGAAAGGTTAGCTCAGTATATGTCATATTTGAAACGAAGACGTCGTCGTCGATTTCCTTACGTATATTCTCTTTCACACAATATTTTGTTGCTTTCTTCTGTTTTTTTAAACATCTTGATGTCTATACCGTAATTCCGACATTCAAACCAGTTCAAACCCTCATCAGGTGGCAACCCTACGCACGTCTGTCGCTGCCCTATTTCCTAACGCACTTCGTAACCCCTCTTCGCTCTGATCTTTGTTTATACGGACGACAGTCGGAAATAGGACCACTAGTGATGCCATTTATCTTGTCTTGTAGAGACTTTATAAGCATTTAAATCGAATATTTTATAAGATGTATTTTTATGTTCAATTTTTTTTTTCACTGGATTCGCAGAGATAAAACATCCACGTGCCAGTTACTCTATAAGTAAGATAAATGAGATAAATCTGCACGCAAATCATTGTCATTTGTTTACTGGACGGAATTGTGACTTAAGACGAGTCCAATACACATGAATAAAAAATACCAATTTTTGGCTACCCTACTCTTCAGTCAACTTACCACACGCGGCGTCCTGTCAGGCCCAGCTTTATTTAGAAACAATCCCGGAGTAATACATTAGTGGAACTCCCTGTGGCTTGCGAAAGTTTAAAACTACGATAAACCGATTATCAGATACAAAACTTCCTGTAAACTAAATTATTACCGTCTAGGAAAACTTTTATAACAGGAAAAGATTTCTTTCTTTGATATCTTTCTTTTATTACCAAACGATAGTTTGTCTTAATCTCAATCCGTTATGTATTGTGTAGTACCCGTAACATGGGGAGTTCTCCAAAAGAGAAAAATATGATTTTTATATGTAGAAGATGGTTCGGTTTTACTGCAGAAACTGATTATAGGTACAAAATAACATATCTCTTTAGTTAGTTTTTACTAAACCTCGTTTAAGAAATTACATAGTTTGTTTTGTTAATGAAAGAAAAAAATAACGACATAAAAAGTGAATCGTGACTAGCGAGATGGAGCAAAAAGTTCGAGGTTCTAGAGTTGAATTACTCGAAAACACGAAAGCAATCACCTCAGGCCTTGGTTATTAACACGCCGCATAGATCAGATGGAGTTAGGGCTGTCAAATCTTTGGTTTTTAACCGAAATCATCTAGTTTTAATAGTGAACATTCAGGATTAAGAATCAGTAGGTAGTAAAACAAGTCACTCGATGACTTTTATTTTCGTCTGCCAAGTCAAGGTTCTCTTTTCGTACGTAAAAGTTTCTTGAAAGTTAGCAGCCCTAGACGGAGTGGACAGCGTGAGTCAGCGGTCGAGACATGATTTGTTTAATAACAGCCGGCGCCGAGACGCTGATACGATATTTAAAATTATCGATATTTTTTAAATATCGAACCATGTATCGGAAACATCGATGTTTTGATGATGCGAATTTCACATTTTTATGATATTATGACTCCTTTGAATCGTTTGTCTGAAATTAGTAAACTTTTGTAAAGCCGTTAAGTTATGACATTGGCAGAGTCCGCAGTTAAGTGGAAGGAATTTCGCAAATATGTCGTGGAGGCCTTCAAAAGAAGAGTGAACTACTATTTACTAAGCTAGCGCGTTCCGTCATACGACTGCATCATCACTTTCTTTAGGTGGGATCGCTAGCAAGCGCTATCTGAACAACTGAACTGAACAAACATAAAAAAAAGAAATTTCGCCTTTTTTCTGATCAATATCGTGTATAACGGGCGTAATTGTTATATTCATTTTACATAAATTAATGTATCGAACCACAATATCCTTTATTTCGTAAAACATATGTCAAGCAATACTTTCCCTTATCATATAATTTATATTCTGTGCCATTGAGAATCACGCAGGAGCAGGGCGCCAGTGTTGCCACTAATTTATTTTTAATGCTACTCATTAATTAAAAACCACTTAAGCAATTTAATTTCGAAATGACCGTGTAATTAAGAGTTGATTATTGCCTAGATAAGTTCGAATTAAGTTAAAGTTATTTCACTCATAAATAAATATTCTTAAATAACCTTGAAAATCACCCGGAAACTGAAGATGTCTTTAATATTAATTTAATTAAGTTGGGAAAAAGTCTATCTGACGCTCGATTCCGCCCCTTGAGAGTTTATATTCTGTTCTCTTAATGAGATTTTAAGTACGGATTTCATTTTTTTTATAACAAGGGCAAGGTTTTGCTTGATCTTGGAGTGGCGCCATAAAATATGTGAGAATATTATTTATTGTAGTAAAATTTGTTTAAATAAATTTTATTTACAGTCGTAAGCCTTGATGTCAATTTAATAAACTGACAACTTTATTTATGGTTAATTTAAAAGCATTCTGTAACAGAATTTGTACAAGAACTAAAATAAAAAAATAAAAAAACAGTAATTTACAGAAAACTTTTTGGTATAATAAAATAAAAAAGAATAAATAGCTTATTATTACTCAGTTATTAAAACTATTATAATTATTGGTGGCGAAAATTCTCTGGCTGTCAAACATCTCAAAACAAATGAAAATCGTTTCTGTTCATAATATTGTCTATGGTTTAAAATTTCGTGCACATTCATGATTTGCAGATATTCCGAGAAGGTGCAAGGTGTAATCCTTCTTGGAAATATTTCGGCGGTCTGTGGCCATTATTTACCTTATCAGCTGTTTCATCGATCAAATTGATTGTGTTCTCACACTCGTGCTTTGCCCGGAGGTCTCAAATTTCTTTACTAATCTGATAACGGAGTTAGAGGTATTATAAAAGGATTCCTGAATAAATCTTTATCGGTGCGAAGCTTTAAAAAAAAATTGAGGATATCATTAAGGAATTTGCTAATTTTATAAAATATTTATGTGCGTAACCGTCTGTTTTCTAACCTCGCATTACATCTTAAATATTCTGGTGGAAAGATTAAACATAAAAAATAAAATTGTACATAGCTTTGAGCACTGGAAACTCAGGTCTATGTTTACAAATTAAATATAAGAGAAACTTTTTTTTAATTTCTTACATTCTAAGAAAGAAAAGATTTATCAAAGACCCAGTTACTTCAAGAAGATGAATTTATTCTTGCATTCCGATACTCTGAAATTCAACGAAATTATCTAAAACGAGGTTAAACAAAGACATGAGGTTTATTTTATTGCCTCCTGTAGTACTGATATATCGACATATGAATACCACAGACTAAACAGACCGAGTTACGAACTGTAACGCGAATTAGCAAACGAGAACTATTCCGATGTTGGCAGAAACAAATCTGTTGGAAATAGTTCTTGTTGTAATACGATAAAATTTAGATTCACGCGCACGGCTCTGAAAGCGAAGTGGTTCTGTCGCGGCATTAAATTTTAAATATAAAAAAAATAAAATAAAGTACCCTGTAATTCATAGAATATTAAAATGTCTCGAGTATAATTACGCTTGTATTTATTTTTGGTCGTTAGACCGGGCGCAAATCTTTGACTAAACTATCGCACACTTGTGCGATTGTCAATTGTTTCGCAGCAAATTCAACTGTTTAGTTGCATAACTAAAAACCCAGTAGTGTGGAAACCTCCATATCTTATAGGAATCAAAGCGCGCGACTAAACAGTTCTGCCATAGTTTAGTCAAAGTGTGCGCGCGTTCTAACAATGCAGTCAAATACATCAATTTTGCTAATGTTAAATCCTACAATCACCAATATTTTTAATTCTCAAAAGGAAAAATGCTTTATATGGTCTTTCTTAAATAAACACATCTTATAAAATAATAAAGGAAGGTAAATAATGACCAAGTAAGGTAATAAAGTTTGCAGAAACTTCAATATTCGAGACTTGACTGTAATTAAATTGTGTTGATCTTATTGCAATAAGGATGGATATTATAAAAAACGATTCAAAAGTACCACCTGTAATTACAGGGCTGCGTTATTATCGTAAAGGTCGACTAGCTACTTAAGGAACCACGCAATGTAAGTTATTTTAACGAAAAAAACCGTCTGCTTATCCAAAACTCATTTAATAATAATGTGTTTGAGGGATGTCGATTAACGTAAGTAATCGAATCGTTGAATACATATGAGTCATGCAGAAAGTTTATTTTATAAGAAAACTAGCTGTTCCCGTACAGCTACATCGAATGAAATTATAATAACTCTATTTTGTTATTTACAATCATCAAATATTCGATTGCAAATGTCAAGAACACA